TTTTGTATCCATTCAGCCTATGTCTTTTGGTTGGAGCATTTAATCCATTTACATTTAAGGTAATTATCGATATGTATGTTCCTATCACCATTTTCTTAATTGTTTTGGGTTTGTTATTGTAGGTCCTTTCCTTCTCTTGTGTTTCCTGCCTAGAGAAGTTCCTTTAACATTTGTTGTAAAGCTGGTGTGGTAGTGCTGAGTTGTCTTAGCTCTTGCTTGTCTGTAAAGGTTTTAATTTCTCTGTCAAATCTGAATGAGATCCTGCTGGGTAGAGTAATCTTGGTTGTAGGTTTTTCCCCTTCATCACTTTAAATATGTCCTGCCAGTCCCTTCTGGCTTGGAGAATGTCTGCTGAAAGATCAGCTGTTAACCTTATGGGGATTCCCTTGTATGTTATTTGTTGTTTTTCCCTTGCTGCTTTTAATATTTGGTCTTTGTATTTAATTTTTGATAGTTTGATTAATATGTGTCTTGATGAATATGTGTTTCTCCTTGGGTTTATCCTGTATGGGACTCTCTGTGCTTCCTGGACTTGATTAACTATTTCCTTTCCCGTATTAGGGAAGTTTGCAACTATAATCTCTTCAAGTATTTTCTCAGTTCCTTTCTTTTTCTGTTCTTCTTCTGGGACACCTATAATTCGAATATTGGTGTGTTTAATGTTGTCTCAGAGGTCTCTGAGACTGTCCTCAATTCTTTTCATTTTTTTTTTCTTTATTTGGCTCTGCAGTAGTTATTTCCACTATTTTATCTTCCAGGTCACTTATCTGTTATTCTTCCTCAGTTATTCTGCTATTGATCCCTTCTAGAGAATTTTTAATTTCATTTATTGTGTTGTTCATCACTGTTTGTTTGCTCTTTAGTTCTTCTAGGTCCTTGTTAAAGTTTCTTGTATTTTCTCCATTCTATTTCCAAGATTTTGGATCTTCTCTCCTATCATTATTCTGAATTCTTTTTCAGGTAGACTGCCTATTTCCTCTTCATTTGTTTGGTCTGGTCGGTTTTTACCTTGCTCCTTCATCTGCTGTGTGTTCCTCTGTCTTCTCATTTTGCTTAACCTACTGTTTTTGGGGTCTTCTTTTCGTCGGCTGCAGGTTCGTAGTTCCCGTTGTTTTTGGTGTCTGCCCCCAGTGGCTAAGGTTGGTTCAGTGGATTGTGTAGGCTTCCTGGTGAAGGGGACTAGTGCCTGTGTTCTGGTGGATGAGGCTGGATCTTGTCTTTCTGGTGGGCAGGTCCACGTCTGGTGGTGTGTTTTGGGGTGTCTGTGGCCTTATTATGATTTTAGGCAGCCTCTCTGCTAATGGGTGGGGTTGTGTTCCTGTGTTGCCAGTTGTTTGGCATAGGGTGTCCAGCACTGGAGCTTGCTGGTCTTTGATTGGAGCTGGGTCTTGGCGTTGAGATGGAGATCTCTGGGAGATATTCGCTGTTTGATATTACGTGGAGCTGGGAGGTCTCTTGTGGGCCAGTGTCCTGAACTTGGCTCTCCCACTACAGAGGCTCAGCCCTGACGCCTGGCTGGAGCACCAAGAGCCTGTCTTCCACATGGAAGTTGCAGGTATATTGCCTGTCTCAAAAAATATCTTCTGGAAGAAGATCTTCAGGAGAAGGTCTTCTAGTCATGCACTTAAATCACTTTTTTAAATTCCATAAGACATCTTCTTAGTAGAATAGGCCAGTATCCATTTTTTAAGTGCTACGGATTACAATGGGAGTTCCATCTTTATATTCCATACACTATCGGAGGCCTGAGTAGTGGAAGCTGTGGACCCGTGTTCAGGGCCGGCTGAGGTCTCCAGTCTCATAAGGGAACCGCTGAAAAGGCACAGATGGCACCTGCCACCTTCAGACCAGTCCCAACTTCAGGCTAGGTAGCGGTAAACTCAGTAGCTGTAGCAGGACCTTCTTGGCAGCAGCCAGCTCTTCCTTCACGACCTCCCCAGCGTCTTCCCATCCTGAAGTCTTGATTGAAGATGCCGTGTTTGGAAGAGCCAGGAGGGGAGATCATTCGTCCATTCATTTTAGTCTTAATGTCTCTGGTCTAAACGTGCGTTCAAGCAGACCATGTTTTATGTCGGTTCTTCCTAGAACGGCCTGGAGAACCACGTTCTGGAGGGGCTGGTAGGATTCTCTGTTTGGTCTGGGACTGTCCAGGGCAAGTTACTGATGAGAACCAAACCCATGGTTTCATTCGAGAATCAGTTAATGATCGAACTGAGAACGAACAGTCCAGCTTACACTCCGAGGTTTGGGGTTACGTGGGAGGTGGGCGTCTGTAGTCAAACCACTGTCTTTGCTTTTTATTCATTGTTGTTCCTCGAGTCACCAATTATGGGTGATGTATCCTTAAAAATTGGCCAGTGCCAGCCGCTCCCCATCTGTAGGCCTGTCCTTGGAGGAGGTTTTGGGCAGAGAGGATGACTCTTGTGGTTGATAGCATCTTATAGCAATCTTTTCAGATACCCTGACTTGGGGCACACGTATTTGTGAGGCCCCTAATTGAGCTTGGGCACTGGGCTATCTCAAGGAAGCAAGGTACCAAACTGGCTCTGTTAACTTGAAGGGAATATATATCATGCCCTATTACTGCAATAGATATGATTGTATTCATTTTAGGGGAATTGAGGTGCTGTGGTGAAGCACTTCAGCCAAGCAAATCCAAGTAGTTGTGAGGGATGGCCCTCGTTCCTCTCAGACTCTTTTTAGATGACCTTTCATCAGTGGGTCCCTTGAGTCTGATTATAATATCCCAGTTTCTTCAGTTTAAATAGTTTAAGATAACGGGGAAGCATCACCCCAGAAAGGATATTATTTTATACACTTTATTTTAAATTAATTTTTGAGTTTTGAAAGGTTACAAAAATAGGATATTTTTTGTTGTCACTGTAACTAACACCCATGCATCCACATTTCCCTACTATCCCCAAATGATAGAAACTAAGAGGTTTTATAGTCAGAACCTTCTTACGTAACAGGGTGTCATATTTGGGTGTTAGCACGATAGGTGATGTTGTTATTATAAGTTCTGTATATTCACAAGCCTGTTGGTGTTTTTGCAGCATTTTCACTCAAGAATGATTTGCTTTCAGTAACTGTGGCCTGTGCCTTTTCCCCTTAAGACAAAATTTAGAGATAATTTCAAAATGTGTTATCATATTTTTAAAGTGACATAAATCAACAAAAACCCCAATGTCCTTGGTGTGGTTGAGGAGGTAAGATTTCTGTATTTGCCCCAAATTGACAAGTGTTTTTATTTTATTTTATTTTATTTTTAATATTTATTTATTTATTTATTCGGCTGCACCGGGTCCTAGTTGTGGCACGTGTGATCAGCATGCAGGATCTTCGTTGTGGTGTGCGGGATCTTTAGTTACGGCATGTGAACTCTTAGTTGCGGCATGTGGGATCTAGTTTCCTGACCAGGGATCGAACCCGGGCCCCCTGCATTGGGAGCGCGGAGTCTTAGCCACTGGACCGCCAGGGAAGTCCCTGACAGGTGTTTTTAAAATGTAAAGTATAAAGAGAGAGTTCCAGAGAATGGTGTTCCCCAGGGCGAGGGCAGAGTCTTGGCTTTCACCAGATTTGAATTGTGGCTTTGCCGCTGTCTGATGGACCTCACTTTCCTAATGGTGTCATCCCAGTGGTATTGACAATGTGCTGGTTGTTCCTGGTCCAGAGATGACCCAGGTAAGGCGCCTCACCCAGCGTCTCCTGCCCCAGGTGGCGTCCCAGGTGGCGGGCGGGTCCCAGCTCTGTTCTGTTTCAGGCAGGAGGCCTCAGACCAGGGCTGCAGACCTTGGTGCAACACTCAGTAGCAGGGCCTGGGTGACACTGCTCCTTTGCAAGATGCTTTTGATGCTGCCCAGGGAGTAAAGATTTTGAAGCAAAGAAGGACGTTTCCCCTCCTTTCATTAGTGGATGTCTTTAGCGGGTCAAAAGAGGCATGAAAGTAATGACCATTAAATAGATAGAATGACAATTCTATCAGTGGTTTTGAAAATAGAAATGTGAAAACAGCCAAATGATGATCACCTTCCCCATAAAACTGGCTATAGCGGTTCCAGGAGCATTTAACATTGGAAACAAAGCCCTTTGTTTTTAAGTTTTTACTTTTACAGTGAGTTAACGTCCTGTCTCCCCCTTATCTACAGGTTGCTTTTGGGGGCAGACACTGCACCCTCTCCCTCCCATGTTCTATTTCTTCTACGTAAAGGCTTGGCCCCGAGGCAGTAGAACTGGGTAGCTGCGACTCCCACCTGGGTGCATTCTGGGGAGAGACAAATTGATATTAAATCCACAATTACTTATTAGCAGGGATATTGACTTTTTCTTTAAAAAAAAGTATGTTATAAAGAGTTGTATTTGTTTGCTCTTGCTTTAATTGTGAAAACAGTTACTCAGTTTCTAAATTTCTAAAATTAGTTTTAGTTCTCTAAAATTAGAGGAGGAGATACCGTATCTGTGCATTTCCTAGTATAGTTCAAATACGCTTTCAAGCCCATGGGCTTTACGTGTGTATATGTATTGTTCCTGAAAATCAAATTTACATTTTCTGATATTATGAAACCGGCTTTGTCAGTGCCCGCGATTCTGGCTTTGATGTTGGAAGGAGTACAGAGGATTAAGGCAGATGAGACTGTTGGGATGATGTCTGACTCCCCGTGTTCTGTGCGCTCACACGTAAATGCCTTCCAAATCTTGTCGTTACTCTGGTGACATTAGCAAAAGCTGGAGTTCTCTATTGGTTAGAGCTTAGCACAGTGCCTGCTGGAGAAATAGACCAACCGATGATCTACTGAATCAGTACGTCGTGCCAGTGCTGACATACTTGGACGTGTGGTGTCTGCTGATTCAGAATTGCCACTGCCACCCAGATCGTCGGCATCTGGGGAGAACATCTGTCTCCTTGCACCGTGTTCCTAGTAGACATGGATTACAGCTGAGAGGCAGGAGAATCTGCTGAAAAGAGTGCCATTCGGGGTTTATTAAGAATAAAAGCGGGCTTCCCTGGTGGCGCAGTGGTTGAGAGTCCGTCCGCCTGCCGATGCAGGGGACGCGGGTTTGTGCCCCGGTCCTGGAGGATCCCACATGCCGTGGAGTGGCTGGGCCCGTGAGCCATGGCTGCTGAGCCTGCGTGTCCGAAGCCTGTGCTCTGCAACGGGAGAGGCCACAACAGTGAGAGGCCCGCGTACCGCAAAAAAAAAAAAAAAGAATAAAAGCAACATTACCACAGCCACTGCTTATTGACCACGGTCTCGCATCGTGGGCACAACGTGGAGTATGTTATTACTTGAGTCCTCCTGCATCTCAGTGCTCCCTTGCCCTGTAAACTTGTGGTCTTAAGTAAAGCATGTGGACTTTCTGGACCGGTATGCCCACTGCTTTCAAACGGGCATGGTTTCTCACTGATTTTTGTAAGAAGAGCTCCGTGAGATTAAAGGCTTTCCTGTTTTTATGGCAACAGCACATTTTCGACATTCTAAAGCCTAGAAGCACATATTCGGCTGCTATCTCGGTCCTGGGAGTGGTTGTCTTTCAAGGGCCAGAGAGTTATTTTCACATATCAACTGTACAAAGTATAGGCATGAGGGTGCCTTACTGTGATGACCCTGCTCTTTTTATTTTAATATTAAAACTTGGGAAGTGGAGATGATGCTGTTTTCAGTGGGGGTCGGGGTGGTCAGAGATGTTTTCCCCTGGGAAGTGACGTACAGGGTCTTATTAAGAGTTGCTCCTTGTGGAGTGTGTACTTTGTGGGGGGGTGGAGTAGGAAGAATCTCAGGAACTTTCCTTATACTTTTTCCTTCTGTTCATTTCTAGTCTTTATAACCTGGCTTCACTGGAACTGAGAGAGAATCTTCTTACGTATCTCCCTGAGTGAGTCTCTGGGGAAAAGGAGAGGGGGTTATGTACTGAATGAACTTCTTGAAGCATTAAAAAAAAAAAAAAAAGTACTACAGTATCTTGTCAAAAAGAAATTCTGTGTCTTTTGGAAAATTTGAGAGATGCCAGCCTTCTCTCAATAGTCCTTCCTGTGCAATAATTATGACCATAAAATCCAGATGAATCTTATTTTGGGAAACTAGTCCAAGTGAGGAATGCCATACTGCTCAGCATTTCTAAGTCCTAAGAGCTCCCTCCCTTTGTTTTTTTGTTTTTGTTTTTAATAGCTCTCTAACCCAGCTACGGAGACTAGAAGAACTTGATTTAGGAAACAATGAAATATATAATTTGGTAAGTCTGTACTGAAGAGAGATTTGAATTTCACCTTGTCCTTATTTTGGGGGAGATCTGTATTTTGGGGGAGATCTGTAGGGATGCTTGTAAGCCAGTGTTTCCACGGATACAGCTTGGCAGCATTAGAGAATGTGCTTCAGTTCACACAGGTTAAGAATTATGATTCAGGGGTGGAGGGTCACGGCTAGAGATGATGGGTATCAGTGGAAACAGCTGGCATTCTTGGGGAGCATTGGGGCTACTTTTAGGAAGGGAGGCTGATATTGGAGAAGTACCAACAAACGACCTCTACAGTACCCCATTACTAACTGTTGAATTAGGGTTCTTTCTTAATGGAAGGCTTGAAATTGGAGCTTTGTTACCATAACATTGCTTTTTGTTTTAGCCAGAATCGATTGGCGCTCTCTTACATCTAAAGGATCTCTGGTTGGATGGAAATCAACTGTCAGAATTACCTCAGGTGAGTGGTAATTTCACACTGTCTCCCCCAAAATGTAAAACCACCACCACCTTCATGTGTTTCCTGCCTCTACATAAGATTTTCTGTAGGAGGGATCTTGAAAACCAAAACATTGGTTGAAAAAGCAGATTTGGAAAAATATATTGAGCATTCATCGTGCTGCATTGCTGTAGAAAAACTGAAAGCCTCAACCCACCGTTTCTAAAGATAATAAATATATCCTTTAGTGTGTGAAGTCTACATTTTATTTCATCCTTGCTTTATGCTTGGCTTGCCTGCTTGAAGCCCAGCAAATTTGGAAGTTACCAGGATGCCAGATTGAGATGGTAGAAGTTTCTGCCACTGTTTGTGATGTGCCAAGTGCTTTGGGATAAGTTGGCCCCAGTTTGCCCCGTAATAGTTGATGTAAAAGCAATGCAAAAAGCTTTTATTTCATATTTTTTCCAAGTGTTGCTATGGTTTAGCTGGAATGTCACACGCTGTTCATGTTTTTCCTGCTGTTACCAAGTGTGAGAACCATGTTCGGAATGAAATGGAGTCTCGTGTGGGCTTCTGAGTACGTCGTGGTCACCTGTGGGTCCCAGCAAGCAGGACCCACTTTCTGTTCAGTTGAAAGAGAAACTTGAACTAACAACAACACAAGGGCATTTTCCCCCTTACTTTGTTTTCTCCAACTATTACTGAATTTTACTCTTTGCTGTCTCTTACAGCCAGGGTTTGAAGTCAGAATATATTTCATGATGGTCTAGGTGTGTGTATTTTACAGTAATTCAGAAGCTGTCTGCTGGGCTGTGTGAACCTGTCGTGATGGGACCGTGCACTTCGGGTGGGAAATGTGTTTCGGTGCAGGGAAGCCTAACACTAGAAAAAAGCACTTAAGTAAAATTCTAATTGTTGTAGTTATAGCTGGAATTACCATTGACATCACCCACGACTAATGCAACTAAGGAGCTAATTTGAGTGTATTTCTGAGTTCTTGGCTGCATTTGGGAAAAGGATAGGACAGAACAGTAACTGGTGTGGGCAAGGGTTTGATTAACACTTAGATTTCTCTAGGAAATTATGAGAAATCTTGATAGAGAGGATTCTAGTTACTTAAGAGTCGAAGGATGGGGGGAAGATGCCAGGAAGTTATTAAGAAAGTACTAAAACATCAGCTGTATAGGATGGATAAACAAGGTCCTACTGTAGAGCCCAGGGAACTGTATTCAATACCCTGTGATAAACCACAATGGAAAAGAATCCGAAAAAGAATGTATATATGTATGTATATGTATAACTGCGTCACTTTGCTGTACAGCAGAAATAAACACAACATTGTAAATCAACTATACTTCAATAAACTTGAAAATATCAGCTATTAGACACGCAGGGGGAGAGTATATGTGTAGACAGATGTACATAAACAATTATGTGCAAAATGCCATGTCCCAAACACAAAGAAATGAACACGCCACTGGTCATGTTATTAATGGTTATTTCAACATCTCATTTGCCCGCTTGTATAACCTTCTATTAAGCCAGGACTAAACATATCAGACAGTCCCAGATAATCAGAATTATTTTCCTGTCTTCACAGATGACAGAAAGTAAAGGAGACAAAGCCATTGTTAAAAGGAATGAATGAAAAAGTGGAAGAACCTCAGGGGCCTGGCATGAAATTAGTAGAAGTGTAGTCTGATTTCCTACAGGCAGAAAATGCAGGGGTGAGGCTCACAGGATGTATGTTAGGTGGGAGATAAACTTGGAAGAATCGATCAGGCCCAGTTCAATGCCGGTTGAGGAGTTTGTGCTTATGTAGCCATCAGGGAGCCACTAGAGTTCGAGGACGGGTCTGATTCCGTGACTGGAGCGATGTTTCCTGGAGGGAAAGATGGAGGCGTGGTTTGTGAACAGACGTGGGCAGAGGATGCCCAGACAAGTCCGGGTGGGAGGGTACTGAGAGTGGGAACGTAACAGACTGGCAATGGCACGGAACAGTGGAGGCGGTTGTCAGAGAGAAACTGTGCCCTTGGAGAGCGGAAGGGTACGACCTCTCTTGAATGGAATGTGAGACTCATAGAGGCACCTCCCTCACTCATGGGTTGGCTCTTCTGCTTCAAAGCAGTCTGCCTTTCTTGTCTCGGGTGTTAACGGTGTCGGCGGGTCTGTGTGCTCCAGTTTGGCTGGGGAGCAGACGCACCGATGTCGTAACAAGCACTGTCTGTCATGGGAGATAGAAAGTAGATGGTTTCCTTCCAGGACATCTCAGGCTCACTCTCAAGTGAGAGCTGCCTTCTGAGTGATTGATTCCAAACTTGGAGAACTGGATTCTAGCCTCCTTTTTTTTTTCTCCCCTAATCTGTGGGACCTTAAAAAGACTCATCTTCTCTTGGTGCCAACCTCCTCATCTTATTAAGGGAGTGATTCCTCACCTGCGTGACGTCGGAGGGCTTGGCGTCCCTCCCAGCTCCGTGTGTGTGATTCACCCCGCTTTCGGTTTTCATTGGAAGGGGGTCTGGAAACTTACCCCTGCCTTCACACTCACACCGGCGCTAAGGAAACATTCTTAGGACCACTCTGGGGTTCGATTTTGAAAAATCGCTGTAACAAATTCCTCCATACCGTGGCAGGTTCAGGCATGACTTTCTTTTCCTGTGTCGTTGATGTAGGAAATAGGAAATCTGAAGAACCTGCTCTGCTTAGATGTCTCTGAAAACAGGTTGGAAAGACTTCCCGAAGAAATCAGTGGCCTGACTTCATTAACGGATTTAGTCATTTCCCAGAACTTGTTAGAAACACTCCCAGATGGCATTGGTGAGTATTGAAAATAACTAACTACCAAGGTGCTGGCTCTTCTCAGGTGCTGGGGACGTGATTCCTTCAGTCATTTGTTTTTAAAGAAGGAAAGCAAGGAATATTTAATACAATTAAAGTTTCTCCATATGCAAGCGTTTCTGTTGCCCTGGTCTGGTAGCAGTTATACGTGTTGTTACTTTTAAGTGTTGGCCCCTGTCTACTTCCTCCGCATCTTATTTCCATGATTTCGGTAGGGATCAGCCCAAATCACAGAATGTGTTTCAGACATATGAACAACCACTAAGACATTTCTAATTGAGCATCGTAAATAGTTTATGGGAAACGACCTTTGACCTTATGGTGTGACCCAGGTAAGGGCTGTTACAGGGAGAGTGGGTGTTGTATGGAACCTTTACTGGCCTATCGAGAATCATCTTTTCCTTGAACCATTCTTTGCCATTTCCTTTAAAAAACCGTCCAGACATTTCCTTTACCGTAAAGGAACACAGCCCAGGGTGAGAAAATAAATGCAAACAGAGAAGATATAAACAGACATACGCTGTCAGCTCCACTGTAGCCAAGCTGCCTAGAAATTGTAAGAAATTATATTTAGCTGTGTGGTTGACATAGGATAGCTGTCTTTGACCTTCACTTAACTTGTATTCAGAACATCAAAGGGAGTTTGGGGAAGGTTTTCAGTAGTTGGAGAAGCTGTGTGACAGAGGACCCCTTCCTTTCTGGTATTTGGTCCAGATGATAATAGCAACCTGGCAGAAATACAGGCTCTGCATTTTGGTTGAGGCTGGTTGGGAAATTGATGGGGACTTTGACTCCAGGTAGAAACATTTGCTGAGAATCATATATGGCATCGGAAAGCAGTTGTAGGGACTGGGGATGTTTTGTCGTTGGGAAAAGGGAGAAATAGGAGTCATGAGACGGTTTCAAGCCTTTGAAAGGCTGTCAGGTAGAAGGAGATTTATTCCGTCTTCTAGCTCAAGTGGGTGAAAGGAAAGGGTTGCTAATCTCAGTTTGATTTAAGAAAGAGCTTAAAATGCATCTGTTATGAATCAGTTTGGGCTGCTTAGTGAAGAAATGAGCCTCCCATCACTAGAAGTATTCGAGGAGAGGCTGTCGGACCACTTGTCAGTGACGTTGTTGAGGAGATTCTTGGAGTGAGCTCTGTCAGCTGTAGGGTTCCATGCCTCGCAGAAGGATATGGGTCTCCTGGCCTGAGGACTGGGGGGGACTCTCTGCGGACAGTGTTAGTTGGTACTGATTATGCTAAACAAGGAGCCTAGCAATCAGTGAGTTCCTCTGCCTTGCCCCGGGACCACACGCAAAGCGAGTTCATCCCTTCAGCATCTCCACATCTCCAGCTTTATGTCTCTTTTATGATAGAGGCTGTTCTCCGATTTTCCTGGGGACAGTGTCATCATGCCGGCCACTCTCTGTGGATAACAAGGACCTCTGCTCTGTAGGCTCAGCCCCTGACGAAGTAGTAGTTGAAAGTGAGAATCTGGTGATGCAGGATCTCCTCCATCCCGCCGGGGCTGAGGAGGCTGCAGTAAACCCCAGTTCCTTTCCCGTGGCCTGAGGGCATTGCCCGTGAGTCCGTTTTCCCCACCCAGAGTGAAATAGATCAGTCTTAATGTGGCTTTTCAAAGATTACCATCTTTTTTTCAAAAATTTATTTCTTTTTGGCTGCGTTGGGTCTTCGTTGCTGTGCGCGGGCTTTCTCTAGTTGCGGCGAGTGGGGATTTCTCTTCGTTGCGGTGCATGGGCTTCTCATTGCGGTGGCTTCTCTTGCTGCAGAGCACAGGCTCTAGGCGCGAGGGCTTCAGTAGTTGTGGTGCATGGGCTCAGTAGTTGTGGCTCGCGGGCTGTAGAGCGCGGGCTCAGTAGTTGTGGCTCGCAGGCTGTAGAGTGCGGGCTCAGTAGTTGTGGCACGCGGGCTCTAGAGCACAGGCTCAGTAGTTGTGGCTCACGGGCTTAGTTGCTCTGCGGCATGTGGGATCTTCCTCGACCAGGGCTCAAACCCGTGTCCCCTGCATTGGCAGGCGGATTCTTAATCACTGCGCCACCAGGGAAGCCCAGAGATTACCATCTGACTCTGCATTGACAGAAATACTTCATTGTACGGATCTTCACGGAGTCATTGTCCACAGGTGATAGAATAAACTGCACTGTGCTGTCTTTTGTTTTTAGTGAGGATGATTGTTAAAGTAACATTAAAGGCTCTCCTCTGTACACGAGACATTTCTTGTTCTTAAAGATCCATCAAGAGCCAGCTGTTTTTTTTTTTTCCTGAAATCTCTGGGCTTTGACATATTTTTAGGTAGTGACTTTCCAAAGGATTTGCCGCTAATTGCTGACTGTTTCTGACATTCTGAACAGATGACTTTAACTCTCAACTGTTCGTGCTCGGAATGAGAATGGTACAGTTTCATAATCTGAAAAGCTGGGTGAGGAAATCAAATGAGCAAGGACAGCCGATAGGAAATACCAAGCGGTGATCAGGAAGACAGTGATAACTAACGAGTTTGAATAACGCTTTTACAGGAAAACTAAAGAAACTGTCAATCTTGAAGGTGGATCAGAACAGACTCACCCAGTTGCCCGAGGCGGTTGGGGACTGTGAAAGCCTCACGGAATTGGTTCTTACTGAAAACCGGCTCCTGGTGAGTGTGGTTCCAGGGTCAGAGGGAGACTTATGTTGTGGGTTCTGTATCACAAAGGCTCCTTAGGCTCGATTCTACTTATTTGTAATTTGGGTAGACCAGATGGAAATTGCCTTACATTGTAACTAACAAAGGGACCTGAGAAGCAAGCATGTGACATAAAGGTGATCCGTTTTGACGTGTCCAGGTCCCCCATCAGAGAGTGTGTCCCCATTGTGATGCTTAGGGTACAGGGACTGAGCTGGACACTAGGGGGCCCAGGGAGGCGGGGGCAGGGGGCGGTGGGCACCGGCCCTGTCAGTGGAAGTGCTGATGCCTCCATCGGGGAGTCCGAGGACGGGCCAGAGGGGGAGGGAATGGTGGTTGTCTCGGGAAGCCTTGGGAGCACTGGGGGTGGGGGGATGCTCTTTTGGAGGAGCCAGAGCACGGCCTTGACCTTGATCTCGCCCCATCTGAGAATCTGGGTGAGGCAGTTCAGGTTCCCCGGGCTTGGACCAGAGAGAGGCCTCCGCATCTTCCCGGGGCAGCACCTGCTGTGGCGGGTTCCCAGGGCGACGGCAAACCTCAGCTGCTTCTCGCCTCTTGCTGCTTCCTCTCCGTCCATCGTCCTTCACCTCCCACCCCATCTGTTCCCCTTTCTCCTCTTGTCGTTGTCTTGTAGCCGCTGTTTTCTTTAGTTTATTTTCCTGCCATTCTCTTTTCTCTATATTTTGTCACTTTAGTTTTTACTCTGCTTTCCTTTTTCCTCTTTTCTTCCCTTTTCTCCTCTCTTTATAAACAGAGTAAGTAATGCTCTTTAGGTGAAAAGATCAGAAGAAGACAGCAAGAGTGAGTGAAGGATGTAGAGTTGGTAGTGCGGGGTGTGCCGGGAGCATCTCCCCTCAGACAGGACAGCGGCCTCCTCGGGCAGGTTGGGTGGGAGGGACTAGGCTCTCCTTCCTTGTTTCTGGGTTTAGAATTACAGATGGTAGAGACTTCCCTGGCGATCCAGTGGTTAAGACTTCGCCTCCCAATGCAGGGGGTGTGGGTTCCATCCCTGGTCGGGGAGCTGGGATCCCACATGCCTCACGGCCAAAAGACCGAAACATAGAACAGAAGCAACATTGTAACAAATTCAATAAAGACTTTAAAAATGGTCCACGTCAAAAAAAAAAAAAGAAAAAAGGAATTACAGATGGTAGTCATAACAGTCAGAAAAATAATATTCATCCCTGATTCCATCAGGGTTGAAGACCCCCCCATCCCCATGGGCTCCCACACCAGCCCGGGTGGCCCCCCTCCTTCCCCCAGCCTCATGGCCCCCCCCGCTCGGGTTCTCACTGCCTGCTGAGCTCTCTGGCCTCCACAGGCATCTAAGCCACCATCTCTTGGAGTTCTCAGAGGTGCAGGCGGGGGAGGGATGAATCTCGAGGTTGCAGATTTCACTTCGTTGACTTAAAGAGCCTTCATTACCTCTTTTACTTGGTGTTTCTCTGTTCCCAGGCCTGTGCCTTTGACCTCATTTCATTGAAACATACTGTCATTTCTACAAAAATACAAAATATTAGATGCCACATCCCCCAAATGAGTGTTACAAACACCTGATATTCAGGAAGAACCGTCACTTCTCTTACTGGATAAGATTAAATTCTCTCAGTTCTTGAAAAGATCTGTTTTACTCTGAGCTGTGTGAAAAGTATGCAGTAAGTTAATAACAAAAATGTTACTTTAACAGACTTTACCTAAGAGCATTGGAAAACTTAAGAAGTTGAGCAACTTGAATGCAGACAGAAATAAATTAGTGTCTTTACCAAAAGAGGTACGTGCTTTTAAGAAAATAATATAATGATAATTATAAAGAAATAATAACACATAAGGGGTCAAAGATGTCAACTACTTTAAAAGACTTATGTGATGCTTTTTAAAGGTGTAAACTCTCATCTGTGGATTCAGGGATGGTTGGAGGAATTGTATGAAAGAATGACCATCAGTAACACTAAGGAGAGTAGGTGGGTCCAGATGGTTGTGAGCAGAGTTGGGAAAGGTGAATTCGTTGGGGGACAGAGAGAACGACATTTTGGGGTTGACCTGGGAGAACAGTGACACCACGGACAGGAAGGAGTGATCTGGGAGTTGGGCAGAGGAAGGGGATGACTTTGGGTTTGACTGGGTTTAATGAGGAGTTAAACTGCCCCATAACCGTTGGAGTCATAAAAATGGATCTTGATGGAGCGTCTTCCTGGGCAGAGGCTTGCCTCCGGGAGAGAGGGAGTGAGCCCTCTAAGTAGAGGAGGATGCCCGGGAAGGTCTGGCCAGGTTCTTAGGATTTTTTGGTCAGTGCTCCAAGCAGGAGAAAAGAGACAGTCACCATCGTTTGCAGGCATAGCTGTGCAGCTTAGTGGCATTTCAGTTCTGGCAAAGGAGGTGCCAATACTGAGAATGGGGAGGAAACCTGAGACAGATCACACAGGGAGGCATCTGGGCCATTGTTTAAAAGGAAGACTCACTTTCTATTTGGAACCAGAAGAACCTGATTGGAAATGGGTCGTACTGAGCTTGATTTTTTATTAGCAATAGAGCCTAAAATAAAGTTTAAGATGCCGTTTCTCCACTCTCCCCACACCCTGCCTCCACCCATCAAGTGAGCCGTTGGTGAGCCCCTCGCCCTGGCCAAGGCCTCATATGAAAAGGTGCTGTGTCCTCTGATGTGATGACCACTGGCCAGGCACCGTTTCCTCCTTATTTCTCTGTTTGACCCTTTCTAACATCTGTTTTGGAATAGTTTCAAAGCTGCCCTCCAACCAGCCAGAGCTCGAGGGGTTCTTATGCTCCCAGGGCCGCTTCTCTGGGTGTCCGACTTGGCTTGGTCTCTTCTTTCCCTTCCCCATCTGGGTGTTCTACTCTCGGCAGCCCAGGCTTGTCCCTGGGTGAGAACGGCCAGCCTTCCTGAGTGGAAGCATAAGGATGTTTGCTATAAATGTGACTACGTTCTGTTCCCAGCAGAAAGACCTAATTCTTCATCTCAGCTAAACTGGGACACCAGAGAGTCTGCTCATCAAAATGTTTTGGTTCCAGTCTCAAAGCAATAAACCAAAACACAGAGCTGGTGCTCTGAGCATTTAATTGTACTCTTGCTGGTGGGTGTAGATCGGACGCATAAACGCATGCAGAGAGAAGTAGAAAAGATTCATGACTTCCTTTCTCAATGTCCTGCACTACACTAGGTGCTGTTGTGTATGTTCATTGAATCGTCACAGCAGCTTTTTGAGGCCATGAGGATTTCCTCACTTTACAGATGAGGAAACTGAGGCTGGTGAGAAGCTTTCCCCACCGGGGCTCACAGAGCTGGGAGTTGGGAGAATGGGTTCCAGACGTGTCCCCAGATGGCCAAGCCCATAAAAGCAGATTGAACCTACCTTTTCATTGCTGTGACCTTGACGTAAGGCAGGACCTTGATTGGGTAAAGGAAGGTCAAATCATCTTTAGTTTGGACACTTTAGAAAATTAATACATTTGAGGAATAGTTTCAGTAAATGCCAAAGAGAGGGCTTCTGAGTATGATGTTAATCCCCAGCAAGGTCACCACCCACCTGCCATGTCCCCATCCCTCTCTTTGGATCTGCTCTTTCAAAGGAACACATTTTAGACAAGAATGTGAGGAGTTTCTTCTTGTAAACTGTCCCCATCATATTAGCATCAGCCCTGTTGGCACTCTGAGAGAATGACATTATTGATATGATCGCTTCCCTGGCATTTGGAGTTTCATCAAGGAATGAAGTTTGTGCCTTTTCCTTCAGCTGCCCAAGAAAGCAGAGCTGTTTAGGACCCCAGGGACTGGCTCTTTTCTAGCCCATTTCACTCCGACTCACATACTCTGAGCTCCCAGGCTACGACGTGTCCCAATTCTGCTGTGGGTCCCAGCTTGGTGACCCTGCAGAAACGGGCAGTGCTGGCCTCTGACCCTCGGGCTGAGCTGCCAAATCATCGATGGGCCCCTCACCTTGAACGGGGTCTTGTTTGTTGGTCTGGTGTGAGTATGAGTGTGTGTGCAGGGGGAATGCCACGTGTGTGCATACACTCTGCCTCCAAGCTTGATACCGTCCCATCAAATCCTGCACTCTCCTGATTGGATTCTTTTCTTTCCAAACGTGATTACTTCCTCTTGAACAATTAAGTCTCACGCACGACACATCTAAACTGAAATGCTGACCAATTCCATTTATATGCCCCAAATCCATAGTTGTGTTAATGGCCTTTGGTCTGGTGTGCTGTGTAGTTCTTCCTCTTTTTTGTCTTTTTTCCCCCCCATTTGATAGTATCACATATTGTCAGTTTTACAGCACAGTTCCTTCGTCTATAGCAGCATTTATTTGCATTTTTTCCCCAAATGGTTGAGGGGAAAATGTTTGCACTGTGTGGGTCACAATAATAGATTCTGTTTGTGTTGTGTGGTGTTATGTGTAGTAAACATTTGCAAATCAATGAATGTCTCTTGTTTTCTTAATTGTTAGCTGCTTGGAAATTTAGAAAAGTCAGGTAACCTTGCAATCTTGTAAGTATTGTTCAGACCACAGTTGCATCTCTGACTTCCATTCTGCTTCTCAAATGCATGAAGATTCAAATCGGCTGACAGCTTTGTGTGCTCTTCATTGTAAAACATTGGACATTTTCCTCGAAACTCAGTTTTTTTTTTTTTGTTTCTTTAAATGACTGCATGGCCTGGAACCTGGTTTTGCTATGTGTTTGTCAGATTTGTTCCAATTACTCTCTCTCAAAAGAATGCTTTTCTGTGAATTACATCTTAAGTTATTCAGAAATTCTGAAAGGCATACCTTGGGGGCTCATCTGCCTTCACCAAATTCTACTTTGTTGGCACGATTCTGTCTCTGAGGGACAGGCTAGATTCGCTTTATTTGCTACATGTGGCATGCTTCTGATTTTTCAATCCACTTACTTGCGTCTTTTATTTCTCATCCCGTTGCTCAAGTGTGTATGTTTCTGTGATAAGGAAGTTCCCTAAAAAACCCTGTTTTTGGTGGAGGGAAGAATTAAGGGGAAGAGACTCTGCTTCGTGGATAGACAGGACGTCGGTGTATGTGTGATCATGGGTATGAAGATAGACACAAACTTTATAGTATTTCCAGCCACATCTTATCGTTAAATGACCTAGACCACAGAGAGTTTCTGGCTGGAAGAAATGGAGTATATATCCAAGTTCAGGGCTTAGTCTCTTGTCTCCATTAGGTCAAAATGGAAGTGACTCTACCTACATCATACCTGTCCAGTCAGATGAGACAAGGGAGGATTTGCAGATCATTCGTCAAAGCTTTCCTTTAGCAGGCAATCTGTAAACACGAATCACCCACAGATATTGTGCTATTCAGAAATGTCCATGGTGATAGAGTATTCATTTTGTAGACAGCTTTCTGCCTTCCTATTAGTACAATTTAAAATTCTTCTAGAGTAAGTTCCCATGATGTTCTAAAGTGAATTATTGATAGATAAAAGAGATATGACCAAACCTAAAAATGCTAGAATTAAAAAAAAAAAAAAAAAAAAGCTGACCGTTGGGTTTCAGGATAGAGAAGGCATTCCTAAACTTGAAAGAGGAAATAACTCATAAAAGAAACAGTTGATGGATTTGTCTACGTGAAAATGAGATTTGTGACCTTCAAGAAAATAAAGACAGGCTGGGGGAAGGGTGATGTTTACAGCATCACACGTGAAGGCTGTCTTTCCTTACTCTGTTAGAAATTCTTTCACATCATTGAGAAAAGAGATGTACCCACTCTAGAAAAGTGGACAGAAAGAAAAGCAAAGAACCCCCCCACAAACACCAGTGATTCACAGGAGAAAAAAATAGAAATGACTTTTAATGTGAAATCATTATTCACAAAATGTTAATTGAAGCATTTTCACCTATCAGATTTTCAAGATTTAAAAAATATAATAATATACCAAATGTTGGTTAGAGTACAGGAAAGTGCCTGTTATCATGGAAATATAGATTATTATGGCTTCTCTGGAAGGGAATTTGGTAGTAGTATTAAAAATTTGAAAAATAGGCATACCCTTTGATTCTGTCGTTCCACTTCTAGGAATTTATCCTAGGAGAACGATTATGGATGTACACTGAGAATCATGCATGAGATTATTTCTCCCAGTGTATGCAGGAGCGTCTAGCGTGTTCCAGGCACCATGCCAAACATGTCCGGAGGCAGCTGACATGTGCCAGGCCCTGTGCCAAGTGCCTTCAGGCTAATTCTTGTCTGATTTTCACAACAATTCAATGAGATATAGGTAAATCATCATCAGCATCCAACAGATATTGATTTCTAAACTAAGACTCAGAGAGGTTAAGTAACTTGCCCAGGGTCACACAGCAAAGAAATGGTAGAACTAATTAGCAGTGTCTACAGTGGTGATCTGCTAAGTAATCTGTGATACATATGTAGAAGGAAATAACTATGTGGTCAGTAAAAATTCTGTTGGAAGCAAAATGACCTGGGAAGACATTCTTGATTCTGTATGCAAACAAAGGTGCTAAAGATCATAGGGCTGGTTCTAATTCTGTTGAAGTGCATATTTATAATCACAAATGCATGGCATTTGAACCTCAAAATGTTAAGACTGATTATCCCTTCGTGGCAGGATTTGGTTTGAGTTATTTTCTCATTGTGCTTTCGTGCGTGTGTATATGTGGTTTTTATTTTCCAGTCAACTAAGTTACTTTCTTATAATTAGAAGAATGCTGTCGCTGTTAGTGGATATTTTGATGTCAGTGGCCCAACAATTCAGGGAGTCCCAAAACCACATGGTTTCCAAAATATTTCTGGAGCAGGGAACATTTGAATAATATGCCACAGATGATCATGGGAAAGGCAAAAAATAGTCTTTGGTTTCTAAAATTATACCTCATGTTATTTCTGTTCAAATAGGATTTTGACCAGATTTTGCTTATTGTACATTTTCCCTCTTGCCAGTGAAATGTGGGTTCAGTTCTGTTACAAATAATATTGAAAGGAAGATGCCGAAGGAAAATGAAAGTTCCTTTCCACTCGGGGCAGGTATTCACAAGGCAGGCTATAGGCAAAGGTGACCAATACAGGCTTTCTCTTTGAGTCGCACAATCTGATTATCTCCTTTAAGCTGTCACCTGCAGGCTGTTACTACTCAGGGAAAGTTGACCTTACTGAAGGTTTGCTCAGTGATCTGCAGGTCCCATATCCTTGAGATGGATCAGATCAGTGCCAAAGAGTTAAGGACAGTATTGTCTTGAATTAGGAGAACACAGAACAGCTCAACAAGGATCCTTAGCTACGTTCTGTAATTCTCAGAGAATCCAAGTCCAAGCCCTCGTATTCTTTTCTCTGGTGCTGCTATCCTTGTGTGCTATTTTGTGGTTAAAGGGAGTTTGAAAATATCCGCTTCCTACGTAACTGGTAGTAAGTTATTTAAACAGTGACTCTGCTTCCCAGAATTTCTAAGTGATGGAGACATTTTATCCTGTTGACCCCTAAGGAGCCTGTAAACCCTGCCTCCTGAACCCAAAAGAGAAAGCACAAGTACATGCGAATGATGCAGAATGCAATACTGAGCTCAGGCCGCTCCTGAACCCAAAAGAGAAAGCACAAGTACATGCGAATGATGCAGAATGCAATACTGAGCTCAGGCCAGTTCTTCACTCCTATGAACACAAAATGTCACTGTGATGCACCGTCAGGGAGACAGTATTTTAGGAGGTTCTGGGGCATCCAGGGCATAGGTTGGCAGCCTCAGCACAGTTCCAGCAACATGGCAGGGGCTCAGGTGTGGACAGCCTGTCACTGGGACCTGGGACTTTCACTTCTTGGAAAAACAACAGCTACGTTTATTTGGCAGCAGCAATAGGTCAGGTCCTAGGATAGGGGCTGTGATAGGTGGTTTCGTTCAATCTAATGCTTATTGTTACTTTTGCTAAAGCAACATATCCAAATCCACAGGACCTAGGATGGAGCCTAAGTTCCACCCCTGGTCTGTGAGATCCCAGAGCCCCCCCTCTACGTCACCCCGCATCCCCCTCTGACGTCTGTGAAGAACTCTGTCTTTTGAATCATGGTTTTGACTGCTCTATCATCTTTTCCAAAAGCCAAAGCTTTGCGCCATGCCCTCCCAGCTGGCTTGGTGTGAGCGTGTCCTTTGCTTTTTGCCCTGTTAGGCAGCCCTCACACATTCAGCCCAGATGGACTCTCTGTCCTCATCGTTTCCTGAAAACATGGCCAGTGGCACTCAGAGGCCACTCACCTGCCGTGTCCACCCAGAGCGCCTGAGGCTCTTGGATACACTGCCTTCCTCCTCTTGACCTCTCAAATGGTGTGAGAGTAGAGCGGGGAAGGAAAGAGAAAAAAATAAATCACAGGCTGTAAGCACGTAGGCAGTGCACACCCTCCACCGGGAGTTCCCGTTCTTTCCCCCAAAGTACGTAAGCGGTGTGAACTTGTCCGGAACTTTTATTGCACGGGCGACTTTCAGAGACCTCTCTGACCCACTTTCATTAGTTAATTAATGTTTAGGAGTAGATGGTATAGGCACACGGTACAAACTGAAAATGTTCACATGGTGTATGCAACTGTAGGCCCCCCAAACAAAGACCCCACCGGTGGCGGGGGCAGTGGGCGGCTTCCTGACAAAGCGAAGCCCCAAGTCGCGATGCAGCCTCGGCTCTGTGTGTAAATAACCGATACCTGCTTTGCCTCCCCGGAGTCCAGATAAGCCCTGTCTCCTCAAAGCCAGGCCGGCGTGAGGCGTGACCGGCCTCAGCCACGTGCTGACCCAGTAGGCGCCCCTTCCTGGCTCGCAGACCCGGTGCGGATCCCCGACCACATGGATCGGGGCCGGTCCCCACGGGGACCTCCGCATGGGTCACCTAAATTCATCAGAGCGAATCTAATCGTGTCCGTCCTTACACGATCCAGGGTGTCCAGGGTTTTGATTCCTTTCCTTCTGGGAGGTGCCTGGGCACCTGGGTTAGACTGAGCCCCTTCCTCAAGGGAGGGAAGAATGCCAGGCCCCACAGAAGATGTGCCTCTTTTAGGACATGATATTTACAAAACGTGAGAGGCCGCCCTAGTAGTTCTTATCAGGGAAAAGAGTTTTGCGGTCTCCATTGTTACACATAGAAGCAGATGACAACTTTAAGTAGCAGCCTTTCAGTAGTAAGTAAAATACAAGTGTGTAGACATACCTTCATGAGGAATGTTGGTAGGTAGCTGGGCTTCACCTTTGGGCAGAGAGGATGCCAAACACCCTGATGACCTGTAAGCGTGCAAATTAAACAGCCCCATCAAACGATCTGTCAGAGGGTTTGTATGGACCATAATTAGAAAGGAAACGGATTGACGTGGACCAGGGGTTCTGGGAAGGCTTTTCGGGGTAGAGGATGTTTAGCTAATTGGGGGTGATGGTAAGATTTAAAAAAGACAGAAAGAAGAAGGGTGTATCTATAAGAAACAGTGTGACCAAAAATACAAGATGTCTTTTAGAGGACAGTGAGCAAACCAGTTTTTCTGGGGTGGGAAATGTGAATACTGAGAAACGAGGGGAACAGTACGTCTCTGGGTGTTTCCAGGTGACCAGAGAGGAATGTTAGTCTGTGTTTTCTTGTGTGTTTAGTTTTCTTTTACATTCATTATGGTTACATGCTGTGGTTAAATATATTATTTCAAAATCCTTATATTAACTCCTAAGGGAAGACATAAAAAGATTGTGCACAAAGGTAATTATGTAGCAGTTTCATAAATGTGCATTCCGCTTTTTAAGATACACATGTATATTTAACACAGAAATAAATAGAAAAGGGCAGAAGGCATATTCAGATACTGACGAAGAGCTGGGTGTCTTGCTCCTCCTCTGGTGGAGGCTCTGGGGTATTTTTCCATGTATCAGAATCAATAGGTCCCTTCATCAGCCCTTTTCCCCAGCCGCCCTGAGTCAGAACAGCGCATGTGTGGAGAGTGTAGCGTGGACGTGGGCCTGCGGGATGTTGTGTCTGGGACCCAGCAGGTTTTGCAACCCCTTCGTTCAGCTTTCCTGACTGTAGAAACCACAGACAGCTTATTCAAGAGAGTCCTTGAATTCTTTTGCGAAGACTAGACTCTTACTAAGCTCAGTTACCTTTGAATCGGTTACTTAAAATAAAAAGGGAATCAAATTTGGTGTGGACACAGATATTGACGTGTGCTTTCAGCAGTAGGTCATAGCCGACCAAATTCACTTTTTGCTAAAAGATGGTTCATTTTGCATTTGTCAAAGGGCACTGAATTTATCAAATTAAGTTGTGAATGACCAAAGGCTATTAAAAGATGTATGGTAGAAATCAATGTATCATCTCTCAGATGTTCCTCGTTTTCTTTTATTTTTAAAGAAGCTGGAACACTGAAGTTAACATAATGGGCAGGTCTTCAAAGGGGTGTGTGTGTGTGTGTGTGTGTGTGCGTGTGTGTGTATCACCTTTGGCCTGACTTTTGAAACCTAGAATTCTTTTTTTTTTAATTTAATTTTTTATTAAAGTATAGTTGATTTACAATGTTGTGTTAGTTTCTGGAGTGCAGCAAAGTGATTCAGATATATATATATCCTTTTTCATATTTTTTTCCAACCTAGAATTCTTAAACTCCCATATTACCAAAAACTATATGTCTGGACCTGTGTTGTCTGGTTAACATATTTAAAAGATGCAGTTGCATTAGGTAGCAGTAGAAAATGACTTTCTGTTCAGAATGCAGTTTTTGAACTGTATTGTTTATTTTCTTGACTTAATTTAGAACATACGTGTTTAATGTTTTGCAGAGATTTTTAAGCTTACTGGACGACTCAGTGTTTTATATGATTTAAATCAATCATAGCTGGTCATCAGTGAGACTTAAAATCGTGTGATGTTATTTTGTGCATCCTTTTCATGCCATTTGATGAACAAGACCCTCCAGTCCCACCCCCATCTCCCAGAAAAACCTGGAAAACAGTCATGTTTTCTTTCCCATCATAGATCGGCGGGTGCAGCAGCCTCACCGTGTTCTGCGTGCGCGACAACAGGCTGACTCGGATCCCTGCGGAGGTGTCACGGGCCGCTGAGCTGCACGTCCTGGACGTGGCAGGGAACAGGTAAGCCTGAGACAAGCAAACGGTCATCCACCCCAGCCTTGGCTGTCTTGCCTTTGCTCCACCTTGTAAAATATATACTGATTGGTCACATTAGCCAGGCCTGGAAGCTCCCAGTGTGGGAGCTGGAGTGATGGAGCCCGATGGAGTGGACAAGGTCAAGGGCAGCCAGAGCGTGGAGTCCTTTAAGGTTACGGTGGGCACGGCCGGACACATGCTTTCCAGATGACGGTACCGCGATGGAAGGGGGAGGGAGACCTAGGTCTTGGCTTTTATAACTGGCTTCCGTATGTCATTGTGGACCTTGGTTTCCTCATCTGAAAAAAGAGCTCCCATGAGTCTGAGCTAGATTTTAGCCAGGGGTCTTGATGTGTCTTGCCCGTGACTCAACCCCCTGACATTGTGAAACAAAATTGTATTCAGGGACACTTTGCTGGTGAGAAGATCCACAGCTAATGTCAGAATTGCCAGGTGTTTCACAGTCTAAAAAACCTGACGAGCCACCAGTCGGTGTCCCCAAGGTCACAGCATCGCCATCTCTCGAGTTCTGGGTCAGAGGCCTGCAGGCTGCTTGCCAGACTCTGGAATGTGGACTAGAGTCATTTCAGCCATTCTGAACCAATTTCATCACTGCGGATGTCACCGCACTTTCCTTCCCCTGAGCCCTCCTACCCAGGCTCTTCTTTCCACCTCTGACACCTTCTCTGTTTCCCCACTTTTATCCTTTGGCACTCATGTTCCTCTTTTCTCCAGGAAGCCTCCTCTCTGGGTCTGCATTTCTGAATTACCCTGATGATAATTGCTTGTTTACCTGCATGCGACCCTCCTGAAATTAAAGTTACCTAAAGTTAGATGTGATGATTTGTGTGTCATTGTGATTTGTCCCTTCAGTAGATGCCTGGTGAATATCTGTCGACTGAATGGAAATGTTAAAAACGTTCATTTTGCAGAATGGCTGGCAGGCCACTGCAAAGGGCCTGATATCACAGGCTATGTTGCCAAAAGGAATTTAAAAAATGCTTTTGGGTGTTATATAGTTAGATGGGAGAGAACGTGCTGGACCAGGGGAAGATGATCAATGCTTCAAAATGGTAAAGGCCAGCGATCCAAAGAGTGTCTGGGGGATTGTGGCCTACGTGATTCGCTGCTCACAGGTCAGGCACGAGGCACCATTTTTCACTCCTCCTAATGGATCGTGGACAGCAGTGCTAAACAAACAGCAGGACACGGGGGAACCTGGTGATGAGCTATGGCCTCGGGAAACCCTCACCGTTTTAAAGTTGATGCTTTCAGGACATCTTGATAGATTCTTAAGGCCATTCACTGGTGACTGGAAACTCAGAATTAATTTGAGCTAGATGTTGAATTTCTGCTTGGATTAAGCCCAACAGGAGGCATGCAGCTTGAGAAGGGCCCTTCCCTCCTAACCTCTCCCTATAGCAGTAGAAGCTCAGTGATTTCAGACCCGCCCCAGTTCTTGCCACTTTGGGGAGCACGGATTTGCATCACTAATTCTTGAGCAGAAAGATAGCTCTGACCTCTAAAAACTGTTTTTCACACGAGTGAAGACCCCATTCTCAAGTTCTCAGGAGAAGGGAAACGATATTTATTATGCCTGGGCCAGGGTGGACAAACACCAATTAAAAAGTCGAGTGCCATAGCTGTCATCTGAGTCAGTTAGGTGTGTCCTTTAGTCCATTGTATATATAGATGCATAACCAGATTTTAAGCTTATTAAAATATTTAATTACTACTTATTTAAAGTATCAGTAGAGAAACTGATACCCTCCAGGTGAAAAGAGGCTACCGTGTTAGCTTTTCAGCTTGCAGAAATGTCACACCATGGGAAGTCCTACCAAATACAACAGAAGTTTCTGCCTCTCTCCCCAAGCATATAAAAGTAGCAAACGGCACTGGGAGGCTGCATGTCGGTTCCCAGAAATTTTTTTTTGACACGTTTGATAGGAAAATTATAGCAAGGATAACGCTAAAATGCCACTTGGAGACTAAAGCACCAAGCCTTCTGGTACAGTAATAGAGGAGGTGCCTTGTATCAGCAACCACCTCTGGGCCCAGAATACAGATGTCCTTAACTCTTAGGTTCTTTCCCATATGACTATCCACCAAGTACACAAAATCAGGTATTGGAGCATCTTCCTCGCAATATTACTAGTACCAAATACTGCAAACCATGGCTGTCGACGGAGAAATCGTTTGTAACTTTGAATTTCATGATCCAAAAAATAAATTAAAAAGCCTAAAAGGTATCACCTTATACCTATTAGGATGGCTTTTTATCAGAAAGACAAGGGGTAACACGTGTTGATGATGACACAGCAAAAAGGGAACCCTTGTGCAGTGTTGGCGGGAATGTAAGTTGGTGCATCCACAGTGGAAAACAGTATGGGGTGTCCTCAAGAAATTATAAATAGAACCACCATATGATCCAGCAGTTCAGCTTCTGGGTATATACCCAAAGGAAAAGAAAACAGGATATCCAAGCGCTATCTGTACTCTCATGTTCATTGCAGCTTTATTCACAGTAGCTGAGATATGGAAATAGCCTAAGCATCCAACAGGTGAATGAATAAAGGTGTGTGTGTGTGTGTGTGTGTGTGTGTGTGTGAGAGAGAGAGAGAGAGTGAGTGAGTGTGTACACACATATATACGTATATATGAAATGGAATACTATTCAGCCATGAGAAAGTCGGAAATCCTGTCACTTACGACAACAAGGATGGAGCTTGAGGGCATTTTGCTAAGTGAAATAAGTTAGACAGAGAAAGACAAATACTGTGTGATCTCATTTTTATGGGAAGTCTAAACAAGCTGCACTCATAGAAACAGAGAGTGGACTGGTGGTTGCCAGGGGCCAGCGGGTGGGGGAAATTAGGAGATGCCAGTTAAAGGGTACAGATTTCCGGTTAGCAGACGAATAAGTTCTGGGGATCTAACATACAGCATGATGACTGTAGTTAACAACACTGTATTATATCCTCTAAAGGTGCTAGGAGAGTAGATCTTAAATGTTTCCAACACACAGACACACACACACACACACACACACACACACACACACACACAGTGGTGATTATGTGAGGAGATGGAGATACTAAGCCTACTGAGGTAATCATTTCCCGAAACAGTCATCCCTCTGTATCCCTGGGGGGATTGGTTCCAGCACCCCCGAGGGTACCAACATGGGCAGACGCCCCAGCCCCTTATATAAGATGCCGCAGCAGAGTTGGCCCTCCGCATCCGCAGGTCCTGCATCCTCAGACACTGAACACCAACGTTATATATCAAATCATCACATTTTCCACCTCAGATTTACACAGTGGTATATGTCAATTAGATCTCAATAAAGCTGGAAAAAATATTAAAAGACAAAACACAACACAAGTGTAGCCAGACTGTGGAATACTGAGCAGCTAGAGAATGATCTGTTTCTCTGCGTTGTGACCCACGATGCTCAGGGCAAAGAGCAAGTGTGGACAGTGCCTGGTGCTCTCATTTTTGTTTTTGTTTTTAAAAAGTCTTACCTATAGAGAACACCAAAATATTAAGTGGTTCCCCTAGAGGAGGGCTGGAAACTTGAGGTTACAGGGGGCTTTCAATTTAGATATTTTGGGATTGTTTACACTTTAGATATTTTGGGATTGTTTACATTTTTTCACTGATTATGTTCTCTCTGTGTATCTCTTTAAACATTTTTGAAAACGTTGCTTAAAACTAGCAATTCTACTAGGAGGTAACAAACAGATGAAATATTCGGTTGTAAGAAGCATTCAGCCATAGGTCTAGTTAGTATTACATTAATCAGTAGGCCATGTTTAGGTGCTAAATAAATTTGATAAAGCAACTGCTATCGTAGCCAGAGGTGGGGAAGGTCACTTCGGTGGGCTGGTCACCGATGTATCTGGAAACGAGAAGCTCACGGTTTGGTTGTTCATTTGCTTTATTCCTTGTACTGTTGATGTAAGTAGTAACCACGGGCTTTTTATTTCTGTGGTCCTAAATGTAGCACAGAGGTGTGTACAAATGGGGCTGCGGCTTCTTGTGTTGATCCTGTAGTGGACAGAAGGTACCAGAATAAACCAAAAATGTATTACTAACTCCCCTGGAAAGCAGATTTTTAAAAAAATCTGTTTTCTGGCTTGTATCTGGGATGCTCACCCAAGAGAAACAGAGGAGTGTGTGTCTTTCTCCCCAAGGCCGCAGTGAGTCAGCGACAGGGTCGGCCCAGCCCGCAGAGTCTCTGTTTGCAGACTGGGCAGGGAGCAGGGCTTTTTTCCTCTGTGACACTGGGAACACCTCTGTCCATAAGACACGTGTGAACGAGCTCATGTGTGGTGTGTGCTTGGCCGGCAGCAGCCGAATCCAAGCTGGCACGTTGATTCTTTGCGGGAAAACCAGTGTTCTAGACCACGCATCTGTCTTACCTGGCCTGGTGGCATGTGATTTTAAGACCTGTTGTTGTGGAGTCTAGTAATTTATTTTAGCTTTTATGACATGATTTGCATCCTTAGCAGCTGTTATTTATTATTGATGCTCTGTTTAGCCTTTTGTTTATACCTTTGCTTTAGCATTTATCTGGGAAGCCAGTTATTAGTCTGAGAAGGCACGACGACCGTGTTTTTAGTATCTGTGTGTCATGCCAGCTTTCAAATCTTGATTTATTTTTTCTTTACTCTCTCGAAGGTAGAGACGCTGACTATAGATTTCTTGCCCAAGACGTTGAACCTTGAAACATTCTGGAGGATATTAGCTTAATTCCTTTTTAAAAAAGAAATAGGGACAAACTTTCAAAAGAAATTACCCTTTGGTTCAATAAAATGAAAAAGGGTTTGATGTCTTTTAAGCACCCCCCCAGTGTATTAGGATATTCTTTTTAAAAAGTCCTGTCACAGTGTCTGGCAGATACCTGCCTTGTGTCTTTAACTTCCTTGCATTTGAGTATGTGTGTGACAGCCTTTGGGCAGAGGGAGAGATCATTTGTACGCTTATACAAATAAGCACAGAGATTTCACTTTCTAGCCCCCTCAAAGAACCAATACCTCAGAATCAGGGGAAGTGGGGCTGTGAGTTGCTGTGCCCTCAGACCCCTCCAGGCATCCTCCTGGTATGTGCATGTCACTGCACTGGGTGGATTCTGGGATTTAAAAACACATATTTCCCACCCAATTTGGCCGTCATTGGTGAAATAGTGGCGTGTACAACACACGGAGTCTTTTCAAGGGTCCTTTCACATAGGCAATTCTCATGGCATCGACTTGAGAACCTCACTCCCACGTGGGCACAGTTCCCTGTATTTAACCAATACTGCACCCACTGAGTGTGTATGGGATGGGTCAGCCTTGACTGGACTAACTTTTAGGAAAAGAAAATATTTTCTCACCTCCATAACTAGGACATGGGAAGGCTTTTGTGAAATGTATTCATTATTCTTATAGAAAGTTTGTTAATACGCTGTCTGCATTCTTTGATCATTTCTAACTTCATCTGTTAAATTAACTTAGTTGGTCTGTGCCTACGTTTTACTTGGATTCGTTTTATAATATTGGAGTATAACTGCTTTTTCTAGTTTATTTCTAGTTTATTTCCCGTAAGTCTGTCAATTCAAAATACGTCTGACAAGTCTGCATTAGTCTGTTGGTGAGATATTTAGGCATCTCTCCCATATATGTTAAATGGAGATAGAGGTACCATTTCATAGAAGAAAGAACCCCAGGAATACACGCTGTCACGTAATTTCTTATAGAATTAATGGCCCAGAGATTTCTTTTAAGAAAATCTGCCTCCTATTGTAGGTAACAGACTGTGATTAGCTTATTTTTAGCTAACGTATGAAGTCATGAAGTCAAGTGAAAATACTTGATCAAATATAACCTTAAGTTCTTTAAACCTTAAATTCCTGGTATCTGCAGAGGTTCGGGTGTTTTCAGAGTGAATTAAACTTGTGTAAAGCCTTGGTTTTTACCAGAGCAGCATTTCACCCTTGGCAGTGTTCCATTTGGGACTGGATAGTTGTTTGTTGCGCGGCTGTCCTATGCGTTGTAGGGAATTTAGCAACATCCGGGCCTTGACCCACTAGATGTCAGTAGCACCCCCAAAAATGTCTATAGACATTGCCAGGTGTCCCCGGGGGCAAAATTGCCCCTAGTTGAGATCCTCTGCTCCAAGTAATCGTCGCCAAGTACCAAGTGCATATGATTTCTGGTGACGGTCATCACTAAAAAGATTTAACTGGTCAAATACTTGTACAAACATAGATAGAAAACTAATCTTTAGGTATCACATTACAGTTTTTAAAGTGCTTTATTTCCTTCGAAACTGAAGCAATCTGAGGTGGAAATTAATTATCACGTAGGTGTCTGAGAAGTGGGAGCTTTCAGAGACTTAAAAGTCTAAAATGGAATACCTAAAATAATCTCCCCAGAGAGAGCAAGTGGAGTCCATAAAGAAACACTTTTAATCTTTATTTTAACTGCAGTTTAAACTTTGCAGCGCCCAAGGCCTCACCTTCCTCACGTCCCGATTTGCCAGGTGCTACCGGGGACAGGTAACGCCATGGTCTTATTCCAGCCCTGCGGGTGAGGCTGTCCCCATTGACTTAGGAAGAACTCGGCTTCCGGGTTCTTCCACAATTAACACTGGCTTCCCCACTCCCCCGCCCCACCCCGGCCTTTAAATGGAAACTTCCCAAGAGTAAACAGCGCGCGCTGTAATTTCCTCATTTTTTGCCCCATGGCCTGGAGGTGCTAATGAGAGAGGTGATGACAGAAAAGGGAAGCACAGTCACCCACTGAAGCGTCCACTGGCAAAGGGTAAATCGAGTATCTTATTATAAACATAATACCTTTTCACATATTGAACCCAATCCCAGGAAGCGGTTTTTATTTTTTTTTCCTGTTTTGTTTTGGACAAGACTTGATTTAATCACAGATTGTAAGCTCCCCATGTCTCCTTTTGTTTTCATCGAGGCTGTCGCACCTGCCTTTATCCCTGACCGCTTTAAAGTTGAAGGCTCTGTGGTTATCAGACAACCAGTCCCAGCCCCTGCTCACGTTCCAGACGGACACTGACCACACCACCGGGGAGAAGATTCTCACCTGTGTCTTACTTCCTCAGCTGCCTTCTGAACCTGCCTGCCAAGGTAAATGGAAGGACCAGGTTCACTTGGCCCCGAGAATTAGCAGCAGTTTATGCCTGTCCTTAAGGCCTCTCACTCGCACACGGGACTGCGTTGTGTCTTATCTGCCTGCAGAGCCAGCCTAGGTGTGAGGTCATTGTGGGTCTTTTCTGGGAAGCTTCCCCTGTATCTCTGCAGAAAAAACGTGCTGCTCATACCCGTGTATCACATTTGATACTCTTTAAACAGCCTTCTGGTTTTGAGTTCTAGCTAAGGCTGAAAATGCAAATACAGACTCCTAAAAGAGGTAAGAGTCCCTTAAAATCCAGACGGTTTGGAGGATTAGTATTGAACATCTCCAGCAAACTCTTTTTAAAACAGGGAGTTGTTTTGAGTGACTGTACCTTTGTTTTGTAAATTATGTGTGGTTTAAAAAAGCATTCAGGGCTTCCCTGGGAGCGCAGTGGTTGAGAATCTGCCTGCTAATGCAGGGGACACCGGTTCGAGCCCTGGCCTGGGAGGATCCCACATGCCACGGAGCAACTAGGCCCGTGAGCCACAATTACTGAGCCTGCGCATCTGGAGCCTGTGCTCCGCAACAAGAGAGGCCGCGACAATGAGAGGCCCGCGCACCGCGATGAAGAGTGGCCCCCGCTTGCCGCAACCAGAGAAAGCCCTCGCACAGAAACGAAGACCCAACACAGCAAAAATAAATAAATTAATTAATAAACTCCTACCCCCAACATCTTCTAAAAAAAAAAAAGTGATTAATTTAAAAAAAAAAAGCATTCACACTCATATCACATGACTGTCATAAATCCTTTTCTGGGAGCTGGTTTCGATAGAAAAAAGAGAGAAGGGTCTGGGCGAGCGGAGCCACCTTGTCTATCCCAGCCTCGTTAGAGGAGCACTTAAGACCCCAAGAGAACAATGCGGTAGGTTGCGCTGCCAAGGAAAGTACTAGATCCAACATGTGTGGCCAAATCACGGTCAAGAGGAAGTTTCTGAAGTGAGAGTGTAAAAAAGAAGCATGAAAAAGAACTCTATGAATCATGATGACATTCTGGAATGAAATAGTAAATATTGATTTAGCAGATATCTTATGATCTTAAATAGAATTACGCATCCTTGAAAAGAAAGGGCAACCTTGCCAGTCACGGGAACCCTGCTGACGTGGTCTTTGTCCAACAGAGAACCTGCCTCGCTGTGGTGCCCTGGAGAGCTTGGTGAACGATGTGTCCGATGAGGCCTGGAATGAGCGTGCAGTGAACAGGGTCAGCGCAATCCGATTTCTGGAAGATGAAAAGGACGAGGACGATAATGAAACGGTATGGGATTCGAGCTTCTTGGCTTCCACAGACATTCAAAATTTAAAAGGCTTCCGAGATTGAAAGTGACACCTGATAAAGATCTCCCTTATTTTCAAATAGTCTTTTCTCTGTTCTGCCTTCAGCATCTAAGAATTGTTTTTAGAAGGCAAAACTGGGAGTTTCTAAGGTTCTGATTCACCAAATGAGACTTTTTTTGTTTGTTTGTTTGAATAGTTTGTGGGTGCTTCTTTTTCTTTATTTGTGATAGTTACCCCTCCTGCCCCCACTGCTTTCTTAAAATTGGTTGGGAATTTTTTCTTCTCTTTTGTTCCCAGTGAACTGAGTCTCTCCCTGCCCTCCACACCCATTTGTAGCCGTACTGTGGGGATTCATCCATGTTTCACCACGTGGCTTAGCTTGCCTGCTGTCCTCCTGGACTTCTTGCTTATCTTCACATAACCGGGAGCCTTCACCTTCATGCAGAGAGCTTGTGATCTGAAGTAGGATTCCCTTATGGGTTTTCATTCAGAAATCAGGAATAGGTTTGAAAGGACCACTCAGCCCTACTTGCCTCCATCCTCCATATGTGTCTCAGCCATCCAGTTGAGTCAGGGACAACTCTCGGAGTCTTCCTGCAATTTGGCTTTGGCTTCTTAAACTCCTTGCACTAATTGAGATTTTCATAAGCAGAACTCAGAGGGAGTACTTGCAGCCCCCAAGACAAACGGCAGTTTTTAAATTACTGCCTGGAGTCTTTGTTATTCCAGCTGTCCCCAAGTGGGCTTTCATTCACTTACAGTGGCAGAGGGCAAGGTAGGAATTAGGCATGACAAAATGACTCCAATGTAAATGACTTTATCTCATGACTTCTTAGAGCATGATTATTTCACCAGTTACGCGTTGCCTTAGTGCTGCTCCTCCTTTGTTAACCTATCGTAGCTCCTCCTGAAACTCCCGGACTGGCCATTTATAAGATGTAAATGCTGTTTTAGGAGCAGAAGAGCACATAACATGTTAAATAATATAATTTTAAAAACATTGCCCATACCCTGTCACTTCACTTCCCACCTTGTGGTCTTTATTAGAAAAATGTGAACTTTTCTTCAGTAGGTCATAAATAAAACACAGCAGCAAAATTAGAAAAGAAGTCCTTTCTCACTTCCCTTTTCCTTCACCTCCTGTGCCTCATGGGTTGAAGAAAGCCAGAACCGCTTCAGATAATAGTAGAACATTCTAGGGATTTTAATTTTAGAATTTTTTTGACTCCTTTCTCTTCTTCCTCCCCTCCCCCCACAATTCTATCTCACAAATCTTTTATTTTTTTCTTACTGCACGTGGAACTTTGTTCTTATCGTAACACTCATCTCGTATTTTGCAAAGTATTCTTTTATTCTGAAAGGAGCCCTTCCATCTTGACTAGGTAAGTTCTACTCAGCACTTTCATCTTCCCTTAACCACGAGGGAGCAGTTGATATATGCACGTACCTCCAAAGCAAGCTTTTCGCCCACTCTGCCTCTTAACCTCTGGGAAGGGGAGACCTGTGTTGGAAAGCTACCCAGGAAGCTTCGCATTTGAAGGAGTGATGGAGTAAAACCCAAACACTCACCCCACTCCTCGCTTTTCAGAGAACACTCCTGAGACGAGCCACGCCCCACCCAGGGGAGCTCAAGAACATGAAAAAGACGGTGGAAAATTTACGGAACGACAGGAATGCTGCTAAAGGACTGGATTCCAACAAAAACGAGGTCAACCACACCATTGACCGTGTGACCACGTCGGTGTAGATGGCGCATCCACGTCATACCTCCCGAGTCATCCTGCTGCGGAGCCAGCCTGTCCCCGCGTGGAGCCCCCAGAGGCCTTGGCCTCCACCGGACCCCGCACCGGTCCCCACCCACGCGTCGGGATGCTGCGCCCCCGGGAAGTGCCTTACTCTGATCCGGCAGCCAGTCACTGCACCCACCCGTGGTCTCCGGCCTGATTTTTTTTTTTTTTTTCCCTAAATTTCAGTTGTTTGTAATAAGTAGAATACACTACTGACAACATCTGACCTTTGTTTTTGTCTTGTGTTGGGGTCAGGGAGAGCAGGAAGGGGAATTTTGACCCTCCTCCCTCCCATAAAGTGCTGGGACATTGTGAACCCAAGTTCTCTTGGACCTACTGATGAGAGAGAGTTTTATGTATGGGGGAAAAATTGATACTTTTTTAAACCCTTTTTGGCAGCTCAGATGGTGTACATTTAAACATTTTGTATAGGTATTTCATAACAAAAAATATGTATTTCTTTTTGTGATTTTATCTTGGAAACGGTACGTGCAGGAAAAAAAAACAACCACCAGTCCTAAAGTATTTGTTTTTATTTGTACCATCCACTTGTGCCTTACTGTAGCCTGTGTCCTGTCAAACCAGTTGTCACAATGGCATCTTTGAGCAGAGAGGAGGCTGGAAAGGTGGTACTTTGAAAGCAATGTTGGATTTTAATCAGTAATCTACCAGGTGGATTTGTTTTTAACCAAAAAGAAGAGTTACCACCAATTCGTAAATTATACCAGTTGATTTTTTTTTTAAAGATGAACCAAAGGATTAGACTGCTAATATTTCATTTCTTTTACAGTCTGACGTTTTCATGAATGAGTCTCTTAGGATAAGTGTTGTGTCTGCTTGTACCTACTCAGAAGGTATGTGCCATTTGTAAAATAAAACAGAGCAGAAAAGCACAAAAAGAAAAAACTGGTTCAGAAATTCAGTGGGGAAATGCATTATGTACTATTAAAGAAAGTATGGTTTTTACTGAAGAAAGCTTTAAAAGTTTTATATCGAGATATAAAACCACAATAAAGCAGAATAACCTACAACCCCGTTAGAAATGTTGCTGTCTTTATAAGTGCAATTTAATTTGTACATAGAGTTTGGATCAAAGTATAACAAAATATTGCTTCAAGTTTTAATTTTAAGTCTGCTAATTTAAGGGGTCTGGGGGTATGTTTTGGTGTGTTTCTGTTGGTTTCTTTTTTTTACAATTTTGTATGATGTGATAAAAGAGGAATGAAAAGAGGACACAGCCTGTCCCTGTGTGGTGTTTAGGAAAATCATGCTGTTGGTGTTGTCTTTTTATTCTTTCCATGAAATAAAGTCACCCTGGACATGAGCCGTTACAGCTTTTTAAAGTTGATTTCTCCTCGTATGTTCAAATGATAGAAGGCAGCCGAGTTCTTTCAGAATGCCCTCCCTTTCCTCAAATACCTGAGCCGCCGGTGGTTTTATGCTAACGTCCTGTGGGTCTGAGTACCCCTTCCTCCCACCCGAGGCGGAGCCCAGCATCGCCTTCAAGTCTGGCGCCTCACCTTGGGTTGGGGCTGTCTGGCCAATCAGACGCCTTAGAAACCTGCTTTCAACCAACCAACTGCGATACCTTCTTTTACTACCAGGAGTTTCACTTTGCTTTTTCGGTGGTTTGTATGTGCGTGTACGTTTCTAAGACTGCTGACTTGAAAGCACATGGCACATAAGTGGTTTTCAGCTGCTCAGTTTTATCTCTCGTTCCCTCATCTGTGGGCACCCCTTTCCTTTTCTCCGTTTTAAGATTCCGGCATACTCGGTTTTGTTTTGCAAAAGATGATGCCACAGACTCATGGGCTGATAAGAGCAGCAGATCGGCTTTATTTAAGGAGAGTTTTCTTGACCCTGAAGAACAGATACAACTTCCCTGGTATTTTGTTTGTTTGTCTTCATATAAAGCCCACCCTTTACTACTCAGTTCACCATGGCTTTGGTGGAATAGAGGTGGACAGAATAGTGTGTGTGTTTGAATTTTTCTAGAAAATTCTACGTACCTAATTACTTGTTTCCTTTGGCCTGTCTCTTCTACTTCACATTCACTTGGGGTTTTTTGCTTTGTTTTGCTTTTTGTTTTCAGTCTTGGGATTAGTTTCCTCCCCCTTCCTTGAGCAGGAAAAGTCACCTTCACCTTAGTCGTTTACTCTGGGTGACACTACGATGCTCTTACCCTCCGGATGCTGGGACAGGTGTAGGCGTCATGATGGAAACAGCACCCACCAGTCAGACCCAACCCAAGAACATGCCGGCCTTTTCCAAGGAAAAGGAAACAAATAATTAGGTACATAGAAATTCCTAGAAAAATTTAAACACACACACTGTTCTGTCCACCTCTGTTCCACCAAAGCCATGGTGAACTGAATAGTAAAGGGTAGGCTTTATATGAGAACAAACAAAAACCACCATGGAAGTTCTCTCTGTTCTTCAGGGTGAAGATTTCTCCTTAAATAAAGCCAATCTGCTTCTCTGTCAGCCCATGAGCCTAAGCATCATGTTTTTTTTTTTTCATTTAAAAAAATTCTTCCTTTATTGGTAAAAAACAGAGTGATTCTACAAAGCAATTTCAAGGGCCATCAAAGTGTTAAAGACATCAGGTGTGTCAGGCAACAGGCATAAGCATCATATTTATAAAATAAAACCGAGTATGCCAGAATCTTAAAATGGAGAAAAGGAAAGGGGTGCTCGCAGATGAGGGAGCAAAGTTTCTTGTCGTTATAAGGAAAATTTAAACGTGAAAGGATTGCCTTGTGAGGCCAGTGCCAGAAGTTTCTGACCTTTTCCTGAGGAATCCTTCTCCACAGCCCGGTCAGCCTCCAGCCCCTCTCTGGCCCTTCCTTTAGGAAAGGGAGGAGTAGCTGTAAGGCCTGACTGTTTGTCTTGGGGGGAGTGACAGGTAAAAGCAGGGAAGACGAGTATGACCTGTTCATCCACTTGTTTGTGTAGCCCCTAGTTCCTCTTCTTTAGCAAGGAAATTACACCTAAGTGGATAAAACCTTCAAAATGTAGAGGGGATAAAATCATGAAATCATTGATGATGAAAAGAGGAGCAGGTGAGAAAACTATTGATAGAACAGTTTGCCTGGATCTTCTGTTTTTTTCTGGAAAGTTTGGAGCAATGGTCCTGACCAACCCAATCTTTCTACCTAAAAACTTCCTGGGGTAAAGAAGCACAGGTAAGTCATTTGCACCAGCCTTTGACAGCCATCCTGCCATCTCTTGTGAAATGGACCACACCCAAGAAGGCACGCATAATGGATGGGGTGGAGGCTGGGAAAATTCCTTCTTTGTCGGAAAGTTACTCGGAGCAACCAGTTCTAATCGTATAAGATGACTGACACCCCTGCTACAGGCATGCTGGCTGGCGGGCGGCGAGGCTGCACAGACACACGCAGTCTGACCAGGGACGGCCTTGGCGCTGCTTGTTAATGGGAGGCAAGCAGGGACCTTGCAGCTGGGTGAGAGTTAAAATCTCACATCAGCCTTTAGTGTTGACTTAACCCAACTTTCCAAAGAGCCAATTAAAAAAACTTTAAAATATGGGTAATCAAAAACATACAAAAGTAGAATTATGTAGTGGACCCCCATATACCTGTCCCCCAGTGTCAGCAGTTACCAACACGAGACCAATGCTAAGCCATTTTACAAGATAATTGAGTTCCCTGTGCTATATTGTAGGTCCTTGTTTATTTTATATACAGTAGCATCAATCCCAACCTCCCAATTTATCCCTCCCCCACCTTCCCCTTTGGTAACCGTAAGTTTGTTTTCTATGTCTGTGAGTGTATTTCTGCCTTGTAAATAAGTTCTTTATTTTTTATTTATTTATTTATTTTGGATTCCACATACAAGCGATATCATATGGTATTTGTCTTTCTCTGTCTGACTTACTTCACTTAGTATGATAATGTCCAGGTCCATCCATGTTGCTGCAAATGCTAAGCCGTTTTAAAGGAACCAAATTATGTTTTAAAATACATCCATAAGGAGAAGACTGTACAATGAAATAATTAAAAAACTCGGGGGGAGCAGAGAGCAAGTGTACCTTTTAAAGTAGCACTTTGGAGTTTAAAATTTTGAGAGTCAGCACAGCGCAGCCGTTGCAATCATATGGACGTGGGTTTGAATCCCAGCCCTGCCATGTGACTTTGGATAAGCGACTTAACCTCCCCGGTCCTTCATCTCTAAAATGGGGCAGTGATACCTCTTACAGGCTCAGAGTGAGAATGAAATGGGTTGCATAGGACACAAGCTCTCAGGGAGTGTGTGGCTGCAACTATTACAGGTCTTTGCTGTTGTCGTTATTACAATGGTGTTATTAGCGGCTCTGCACTTCCTACCACGGACTCAGCAGTGTGTGATCACCAGTGTCTTGTTCCCCGGAAATGAGGACACATGCTAGTTCTCTGGTGAAGAAAACTTCATCTGAAAACTCTCTCTTCTACGATATTCTCTAGAGACCCATGAGTTATGTAATGGGTGAGGGAAGTTTTGTCTGGTCAGCTCACTTAATGGTAAGGTTAGCAGTGGTCCCCTGGTAACCCCTTCATTGTAACTGGACTTTACTAAGCTAGCTGACCTTAAGGGAAATCTAGTTTCTACCAAGAAACCATTAAACGCCTAATTGAGAAAAGGGTCTCTGGGTTTCCAGGCCACGTCCCCTCTCTGCCAAGTCCTCAGTGTTCTAGGCTTTGGTCTGTTGTGCCCATTTAGTATCTTAACTCTATTTCACCTTTGATTTTCATAACTCCCTCCTTTTTCCCCTCTTGCTGTGTTCTGTCTCTTCTCTCTCCAAGGGAGACCTCTGAGGCTTTTCTGTACCAGGACGGGCAAGTAGACTTAAGACATGGAGCATCAGTGGGAAAAAAAACCTACTGGATAAAAGAAATCAATGCAGCCTGAGCTGGTGCATGTGCGGTCCACTCCCATCTTGCTGGACTGTTTTCTTTTTGAAAAGGTGACAGCTGGCGGGAAGGGGAGACCGACCAGAAGAACCTGATCTGGTTACCTTCATTCAGTAGGCTGTGGGGAAGGTTTGAGACGAGCTTTTGTGTCTCACAACTGGCAGATGGACAGTGTAAACTGTGCGAGTGGGCAGTCCCTCCCTGTGACAGACCCCTGAGCTCTGACTGGGTGAGAATCTAATTGGGTTGATCCTCCAAGGGCCTTGCAAGGCATCAAGAGTTTAATTTCTAAGCAAATGATGAGCTGCCCCTTGGTATTGGTGAAATGGCAGTTATGATGGCTGCTGTTTACTGAGCACTTACTATGTGCCACACCCCAGGCTGACTGAACACAGTCTCAGTTTTCCAGAACAGCCCATGAGGTAGGTTGTGGCATTTCCATTTTGCAAAGGAGAGAATTAGGATTCAGCTAGTTTTGATGTATTTGTGGGAGGAGGGAAGCTCCATGTCCTTCTATTCCATCATCTTAATCTCTCCCCGCAAGATTCAGATAGTTTTCACGACTTTTCCAAGATCCAACAGTAAATGACAAAGTTGAAATTTGATTCACATCTCCATTGACTAGACTCTGATCTCCATTACTCCCTTATTTTCCTTTGCCCCCCATCCCTCCCTCAGCTAAAACACTGTGAAGCTGCAACTATATTCAGAGTTGTATTTATTGTAGACGCGATGGCTCTGTTTTAATTTTTTGGGATCATTTAGGCCTGGGTTATGGACAAAGACTGGCATAGAACTCAGTGAAATTTAGCGCCATCTCTGCAGACCTGGATCTTCCTCTGTGCCCAGTTTGGGTAGCAAATGCTATGCCCCCCACTCCCCTCCACCCCTCCCCCTGCCCACCCCACATCATGTCCTATGGCAAGGGCTATGAAAATGTTCATGGGATCTCTGTTCTACCATCTCAGACTGTGTGCAATCCTCGAGAAGCTTGGGAGAAAAACTATTTGGTTAGTGGGTGACCAGAAAAAAATTGATATATATATTTTTAATATTGACTGAAGTGACAGTTGGGGAACTGGCTCTTGAGAGAGCTCTAACGTGTTTCAAAAATTGGCAGTTAGCCCTGGCGTGAGCTAGTTAATCAGGAACGATCTTCATCCTCACTGCCTTTCACAGCCTCCCCTTGGAGAAAAGACAGATAAGGAAGACTTGGAGATCTAGAGTGCTGCAGCTTGATCTCGATGCAGTTTGAGGGGAAATAGGAAAGGTGACTCGTGATTTATTATTTCAGATCCTCCCTTTAAAAAGTGTTGTGAAAGATTTGACAAATAGTGATTACTCCCCTTTAGGAATTTTTGTTTAATCATAGACGCAGCAAAGCAGAAGAATAGAAACCTTGTGTGACTGA